AAACATGTTATCCAGTTAGTTAAGAAAATGTGAGGTGGTAGACAGCCCCTGGGACTTGCTAGTGCACAGAAGCTGACGTGACCTTCAACAGTGAGGAAAAGTACTCCTAGTAAAGGGAGTCCTTACTAATTTAGAAGGCAATAAAACAATGACTCAACTTCTGTCACCAGAGTAACAGTCATGTATAAATCTCAAAGACTGTTTCTAAGAAGAAAGGAAACCATAACATCAAATTAACTTCACATTTGATTCTACACATTGCTTAACATTTTCCTCTGTCGTATTTGGCGTTGGGTTCTCTTACTCCTATTTCTACACAGCTGAGAAAACAAATAGTCTTCCAAGGATGTTAAGTTTCCTATAAAATAAACAGTGATTCAGCTGAGAGGTCAGAAAAGATATCTGCAGTAATGTCATTAGGAAGGATTTTATTTTGAACTTCTGCCTGGCCAGCAACACAATCAAAATAGTATGTTCACCATCTTTGCTATTTCAGCTGTGATTTTATTCAGTTTTTTTCCCCCCAGGGTAAGCAGGCATTAAATGCAGAGAAAAAACAAGTTAATGCTTTGTAAACATTCTAGTTCTAAGGCTTAAATTTATTTTCACTTTGAGTAGTTAATTTGAAGCCATTTCTTCATTCACTCATCTACATTGTTCATGTATTCAGTAAATGCTTATTGAGCATCTAGTATGTGCCAGGCACTGATCTAGGTTCTAAACATTGTCATTGAGCACAACTGCCATGAGAGTTCAAACATGCTACATAGAAGGTGACTGGGTAGGGGACAGCTACTTTCAACTTGGTGATCTCACAAGGTTATTGAGAAGGTAACATTTCAGCTTATCAGGAAGGTGTGTGGGCTTTTACTTCCAAACATATCCAGAGCCTGACCACCTTCACTGCTTCCCTGATCGGGGTCACCATGATCTCCTTCCTGTATTACTGCAGTAGCCACCCTACCTAGTCCTGCCCCACCCTTGTACCCCCCAACTTGTTTTCTTTCTTTTCTTTTCTTTGTTTTTTTTTTGAGACAGAGCCTTAAACTGTCCCCCTGGGTAGAGTGCCATGACATCACAGCGCACAGCAACCTCCAACTCCAGGGCTCAAGCAAGTCTCCTGCCTCAGCCTCCCAAGTAGCTGGGACCACAGGAACCCGCCACAATGCCCGGCTATTTTTTGGTCGCAGCCGTCCTTATTTGTTTTGGCAGGCCCGGGCTGGATTCGAACCCTCCACCTTAGGTGTATGTGGCTGGCGCCTAGCCACTTGAGCCACAGGCGCCAAACCCTCCAACTTGTTTTCTACACAGCAGCCAGAGCCATCCCTCTAAATAACACCCAGGCATTCCTTTGCTCACACCCTCCAGTGGCTCTCTGTCCAACATGCTTACGTCCCACAGCCTTGCACATCCTCTCTGCCCCCTCTGCCTTCACAGCCTCACTGGCCCAAAACCGCAGCCCAGACACACCAGGCACGCTCAAGACTTGTTGGACTTGGAACTTGTTTCTCTGTCCAGAGTTCTCTTCCCTAGATAGCAAGCTCACATTTCATCTCCTTCGGGCTCTTCGTATCACTCTATTTAAAGACATTTTTTTTTTCTTTTTGAGACAGAGTCTTACTATGTCACCCTCGGTTGAGTGCCATTGTTTCACAGCTCACAGCAACCTCCAACTCTTGGGCTTAAGCGATTCTCTTGCCTTAGCCTCCTAAGTAGCTGGGACTACAGGCGCAAGCCACTACGCCCGATTTTTTTTTTGGTTACAGTTGTCATTGCTGTTTGGTAGGCCCAGGCTAGGTTTGAACCCACCAGCTCTGGTGTATATGGCTGGCACCCTAGCCACTGAGCTACAGGCACCGAGCCTTAAAAACATTTTTATCATTATTTTTAGAGAGTCTTGCTATGCCAACCAGGCTGAGTGCAGTGGCATGATTGTAGCTTACTGCTGCCTCAACTCCTGGGCTCAAGAGATTCACCTCGGCCTCCAGAGTAGTTGGGACTACAGGTGCCGGTCACCATCCTTGGCTAATTAAAAAAAAAAAAAATTGTAGAGATGAGGTCTTGCTATGTTGCCTAGGTTGGTCTGGAACTTCTGGACTCAGGCCTCTGCCTCTGAAAGTGCTGGGAATTATAGGTATGAGCCACTGTACCTTGCCTGTGTCACATTCATTATTTACACATGAAATCACCTCAGACAATCCTGTTATTAAAAAAAAATCAAATTGGCTCGGTGCCTGTGGCTCAAGCTGCTAAGGCGCCAGCCACATACACCTAAGGTGGTGGGTTCGAATCCAGCTCAGGCTGCCAAACAACAATGACGGCTGCAACCAAAAAATAGCCGGG